AAGACTGAGGTGTAACGCGTGTAGTCGTCAACCACCAGCAGGAAGTAGCGCTCGTGACCCTGTCCACGGACGCGGGCTGGGCCCCACACGTCCATGTGAAGCGTTTGCATCGGGGCCTCCGTCGGAGGGAACGGGGAGGAGTGAGGGGTAGCCTGCAGGCGACCCTCGACACAGGGAGGGCCAGGCCCCGGAGGAAGGGGAGGGAGGGACCGGGGAAGGCCAGAGACAAGAAGGCGAGAGGCCATGCCCCGGAGACGAGGCAGGGAGGGGTGACCCATCGTGTGGTGCTACAGGAGGGTCTCGTGGGACAGGAGGCGACACGAGCAGGGGGCAGACTCAGGACCAGACCTGGACGCTGCAGCAAACACCTGACCCGACGCAGCTACCTGACCAGACGCAGGAGAAGGAGACGGAACAGTGAGTGTGTACAGGCTCGACCCTGGACCACGTGTGAATGTGGTCAGGTGTCGACCCGTGTCCGCGTCCGTGCAGTGGGTGACTCGTCGGCGCGCATGGGTGAACTGGTCAACCCCTGCATCCTGTAGGTCAGCACCCGCCACCAAGTTCGTAGAGAACGAGGGGAGGTAGAGACCGGACAGGGCGCCAGACGGGACCGCAGGGCACGGCAGGACAGTGGAGTAGCGAGCCAGAACAGGACCCCCAGAGGGGTCTGCCAAGGAGACCGCCACTGGCCGACTAAGCGGCGTGAGTGTGGTGCGGTCTCGAAAGAAGGAGCGAGACGCCCCGGAGTCAAGAGTGAAAGTGAGAGAGGGTGAAGTCGACACAGTACCTGAGAGAGCAGACTCACCAGCACCTGAGGACTCAGACTCACTGGCACCTAGAGCAACAGCCTCACCAGCACCTGGAGCAGCAGCCTCAATAGCACCTAGAGCCGCAGTACCAATGCCCGGGTCGGGCGGGAAACACCGGTAACAGTCACCCTCCTCACTAATAGTCACAGCATACATAGCAGCAAGAATAGCATCAAAGTCAAGATCAAAGATAGCTACTCCAGCCCTAGACAGCTGGTCCCAGCGAGGGATCTCAGAGGCGTCAGGAAACTGGCGGCGCCAAGCGTCAGTCAGGCGGCCGAAGCAACGCTGGGTGGAGTGTGGACCACCACACTGCTCACCCGCACGGTCGCCAGTGCGCAGGACGTAAGTGCACGGACCAGTACCCCCACCCCGCTGACGCGCAGAGTACCACTCACGGAGCTGCTGCGGGGAGAGGGTCTCCTGACCACGCTGCTGCTGCTGGCGCTGACCACCACCGGAGCCACTCCTCCTCGGCGCGCCACGACCTCCGCCGCCTCCTCCGCCGCCGCCGCCACCACCTCCACCGCCACCGCCACTCCCACCGTCGCCGCCGCCACCGCGGCCTCCGCCTCCACCCCCACTACCACCGCCGCTGCCACCCCCGCCTCCACTGCCTCCGCCGACACCTCCACTCCCGCCACTACTCCCGCTACCACCCTCACCTCCGCCGCTGCCTCTACCTCCGCCTCCACCGCCCCCGCCGCCTCCACCACCGCCCCTGCCCCCCTTGCTCTTGCCAGAGCGACGTCTCCCGCTGGGGGCAGACGCCGCTCCGACCGACTCAAAACCAACAAGGTCGGCCGTAGCAGTAGAGGCGACAGAGGGCAGGAGGGGGGAGGGGGAACACCCCTCAAAGATGGGGGTGCGCGGGTCACCACGAGAGGCCCCTACAGCGAGAATGCTCTTCTCGGCTGCGAGGAGGGACTTCTCGAGGATCTCGACAGTGAGAGTGGTGGGGCAGACTGCGAGTAGGTCGTCCCTGACTCCGCGAAGGGAGTCAGGGAGGCGGGTGACAATGTAGTAGAGAGTGAAGTGCTTGGGGGGGGGGTTCTTGGCGCAGAACTCAGCAGGAAGTGCAGCGCGGAAGCGAGCGTCACTAGTGCGCAGGTGGGTAATGAGGTCGGCGACTGTGGCAAAAGCAGCAAGGTCGGGAAAGAGGTACGGTAGCATGAGGCGGCTCAGTGCAGCAGTGGCAGGGGTGGAGTAGCGTGCGATAACGGCGTCGTACAAGGTCTTAGCACTCTTGTACGACCCAAAGTGCGCACGCTCAGCGGGAGGGAGGTGGCGACGCACAGCAAGACGTGCAGCAGCATCGCGTGTGGCCCACTGTGAGCGAACAGTGGCATCCTCAGTAGCAGCAGGGGCGGGAGAGGCACCAGAAGTGAGATCAAAGAGAGAGAGTCCGTCAGCTCTGTCGCACTTTAGGAAAAGCAGTAGGTCGTCTACCCACACGTCAAAGTCAATGGCTCTGCCCTCAGCGTCAAAGGCGAGGACACTGGGGGTAGCCATGACAGCAGTAGAGAGAGGGCAATGCGCAGAGTAAAGCTCAGTGCTCACCAGACAGGGCAGTGCAGGGAGGGCACGGGCGGCTCGGGCGGCTCGGGCGGCTCGACTGCTGGGCGGCTCGGGCGACTCGGCGGCTCGGGCGGCTCGGGCGGCACTGCAGCTGGGGCGGCTCGGCTGCTGGGGCGGCTCGGCTGCTGGGGCGGCTCGGCTGCTGGGGCGGCTCGGCGGCTTGGGCGGCTCGGCTGCCGGGGCGGCTCTGCTGCTGGGGCGGCTCGGCCGGGAGATGCAGGGGCGGGGCCGTCAGGTGCAGCGGCGGGCCGGCAGGTGCATCGGCTGGGCCGTCAGGTGAAGCGGCGGGCCGCTGGGTGCAGCGGCGGGCCGTAGGGTGCAGCGGCGGGCCGGCAGGCGCAGCGGCGGGGCCGTCAGGTGAGGCGGCGGGCCGTAGGGTGCAGCGGCGGGCCGTAGGGTGCAGCGGCGGGCCGGCAGGTGCAGCGGCGGGGCCGTCAGGTGCAGCGGCGGGCCGGCAGGGCCGCGTCAGAGCCGGCGGCGGGGCCGCGTCAGTGGAGGCGGCGGGGCCGCGTCAAGCAGGCGGCGGGGCCGTGACGTAGCGGGCGGCAGGGCCGCGGCAGAGCCGGCGGCGGGGCCGCGTCAGTGGAGGCGGCGGGGCCGCGTCAAGCAGGCGGCGGGGCCGCGATCAGGAGGGGCAGCGGGGCCGCGAGGGAAATGGCGACCCGAGGGGTCGCTAAAAAAATGCGCGCCTCGGGGCGCGCTTCGGTGGGCCCTAAAAAAACGGTCCTTAGGAAGGACCCGCTCTATACCATGTGAAACAAGTGAACAGGGATGAAATGACTAAGGAAAGATTGGGTACAAATGCAACCCTAGAAACCCTGTACCCCATATGTGCTACCCCACTATAGCCTACAGCAACTATGTCATATAAATCTGACACTCGCCTAGTTTCATTTCAATCGTTGTCAGCTGCGCCATTAACCTGCTTTGATTTACGCTGTCTGTTGCTTGATACAGGTTCTTCAGGTGGTTGTACGCGAGCTCCGCGGAGTTGCCGTAGCCTCGGTAAGTCCTGATGTTCTGCTGCTGGGTCGGGGTGATGTTCCTCAGCAGTATCGTGTACGCCATCATCGATTGATAAGTATATTGCTGCTTCTCATATTGCGTCCCGTTTGTTGGATATGGCAGGGACCCGTCGAAGAAGCCGAGAATATGTGCTCCTTCCATCATCAGTTCGAACTCGAACGACCAGGTGAAGAAATCTTTGCCGTCGAAAGGCTTTGTCGTTTGTAGTTTTAAGACATGCGCGAATTGCGATTGAACTTGTAACGCATCCAATGCCCTTTCTTGTCCTGGTGCAGGTTGCGGTTGCGGCATGAAGCTGACGGAGCCACGCTGGGGCTCGTATGGCGCAAAGGTAGGCTATTGTTGTTGTTGTTGAATCCCGCGTGCGTAGGATGAGCCATCGAGACTCATAGGCGTCACGTTGTTGTTGTTGTTGTTGCTGTTGTTTGATTGCGCAGGTGCTCCTTGCTGGTGCTGCTCGTAGAAGGACATGAAGGAGAAGAACTTTTCCATCATGCTTGGATCGAAGCCTGCGGGCGTTTCCGTAGACCCAGCTGCCGGTCTCGTGGTAGTCCCTTCCTCTGTCTGTAGACCAGAGACAGGAGGTGGAGTAGGAGTAGTGCCTGGAGAGCCGTTGGAGGAGCTCCTCTCCTTCCTTGCAGACATGTCTTCTTGTATTGAGTGTTAAAAGGAAAACAATCTTTAAAACTCTAACTGCTCTCATACCATGTTGGGCTGAAGTGCCCTAGGATCTTTGTAGAGTTTTAAGTCTGAGTAGAATTGTAGTAGCGGAAGCGTTTGAATGAAAGTACTTGAACCACCTTGCGCTAGTATGTGAGGGCAAAGTAAGTTGATTAAACAAGCAAATACAAAGGTTTATATAAGAGTACAAGGAATACGAATAGATAAGTTAAAACCGTTTTACTGTTGCGATTCGATACAGTGCGACTCGGGCAACTGCTCAATGTCGAGTCAGTTGTGTGTCCTTGCTGTCGCGTTGTATTTGTCAAGTCAAAGGTCGCTGACCTTTGACCTTCTCGTAACCTCCAGGCGGTTACCCTAACCTCCGAGGGTTGACTCGCGATGCTTCGATTCGGACTGCTTCGCTAGTGTCCTGAGTTTCGACACGACAGAGGCGCTTAAGACTTATTATTCCCAACACTGCCTAGGTGTCATTTGTTTAGTTTAGCGAGCAATTTGGAGAAAGGAACACCTAGTTCTTTTTCTTACCTTAGCACTAAATGGGTGCTTATGGTACCTTTAACGCTTGCATACAGACAGATACGGTAGTGTGGCTTGTTTTCCTAAGTCTTTGGTTGTATCGCAAGAAACACAATAAATTCACTGTAATTGAACAATTAACACTGTATAACAACCATCCCTATCAAAGTGTAGCACAATGCCCATTACCTACAACATCAACTCGTAGCCATCAATGTGTTTCTGATGGCCGTTGGCCAGTATATGTGAAGAATGGTTAAGAATATTGCATTCAATACCCACACCAGCAGCTTCTAGTGATGAAGCCACTGTCAGGTCTCTGATGTTGCAACCACCACTCTCCAGCTCCTCCTTGGCTCAGCCAAAGTGCGGGAGCCCACCACATCACGGAAGCATGCCATAATGGTCCATTCCTTTGGCACGGCATTCAATGGTGGCAGCAATGTGGCGGGACATGCCGGAGATGCAGCGCTGGGCAGCCTCCAGCTCCTCCAGCTCCATGTGCTCCACGCCTGCTGCCTCGCGCACCGCCTGCAGCATCTCCACCATGCCCGCCGACCGCACCACCGCACGCATCGCCTCACCCACCTCCTCCACATCTACTACTGCCACCGTTGCTCTCCGGCCCGCCTTGCGGCGCCGCACACTCTTCTTTGCACCCGCCTGCTGCGCCTGCACCTGCTTCTGCTGCTCTGGTAGACCTCTCAGTGCCCCGTCCTCCTCACTGCAACTCTCGCTGCGAGCCCTCCTGTGCCCCACTGTCACCACCGCAGCCTGCAACAGTGCCCGTGCGTCCTGCTCCCTCACTTGGCACCCCCCCGCCTTGCGCTTGCCTGTCACAGCACCTCCTCCCTCTCCGTCCCCACTGCCTTCCCCCAACCCCACCACGTGCGCATCCCCTGCAAGTGCTGCTGCCTCGCGTGCTCTGCGGGACAGCAGGCGGCACTGCACCATGCTGCGCGCCCACTCCCCCGCCACCCCTGCTGCCACCGCACCCCCTGCCAGCCCGGCAGTAACGCCAGAGGAGCCCAGCGACTGGAAGACACCTGCACCAGATGCACCCTGCATTACCATGTCCTCCACCCCACGTGCCTCACCTGCTGCTGCAACACCCAGTTCTTCAGGGGTGCCGCTGCGCTCCACCTCAAGGCTGCCTGCCTCCTGTGCATGCTGCTGCTGCAGCGCCTGCTGCTGCCTGCCTGCAGTGCCTGTCCTACCGGGCATGCCTCGCTTGGCAGCCATGGCAGCAGCTATCTCCCTGCGCCCCATGTGACCCACAGCGATGCTTGCACCCTTCCCCGCACTGCTCTCGCTGCTCTCACTGCCAGCACCACCACCGCTCCTTGCTGCACCTGCCCCTGCCTCTGCGCGAGTGCCCACCCCTGCCTCCACGGCCTTGCCTGTGCTGCTCTTGGCAGCTGTGCCATACCTGCTGGGAGTGCTGCTGCCTGCCCTGTGTGGCAGCAGCGACCTCAGGCTGGACGCCAGCGACCGCATGCTCTTCACAGCGCCGCTGCTGCCGCCGTGCCCTGCCTCCCTGCCACTGGCCCCACTGCTCGCACCACGGCTGGTGCCAGTGCCTGTGGCGGGGCCAGGGCTAGAGGGCCTGCGGTGGGTGGGAGAGGCAGGCGCCTTGGCCGCTGCAGCGCTGCTGGTGCTGCTGCCGCCCTTGAGAGCCAGTGCCAGCAGCGCCCTGCCTGTGGCGCGCAGCGGGGAGGCCGGCCGGGATGCACTGCTGCTGCGCCCGTGCACTGGGGTTGTGGGGGTGGCCGGGACGGTGGGGGTGGTGGGGGTGGTGGGAGTGGCGGGGGTGGTGGGGGTGGCGGGGGTGGTAGGAGTGCGCGGGGTTCTTGGGGTGGTTGGCGTGGAAGGCGGTTGGGTGGTGGGAGTGGGTGTCGTGGTGGCCTTGGGTGCGGCTGCACCACCTGCAGTCGTGGCGCTCCTTGCCTCACAGCTGCCCGAGCCTGCACCCCTCCGTGCCTCTGTGCTGCCTGCCCCGCTGCCTGCCGTGCTCCTGCCTGTGCTCCTGAGGCTGGCAGCGGTGACGGCAGCAGTGCGCGTAGCAGAGGGGGTGGGCGTGGGGGTTGGTGGTTTGCGATCAAGGGAGTGCTGGCGAGACAGGGACAGCAGTCGTGACATGGACTTGCGCACAGGGGACGCTGGTCGGGTTGCTGCTGCTGGCACTGCTGCAGCTGGTGCTGGTGCTGGCTCGCGCTTCTCATGCACGCTTCTTGCTGCGCCACTGCTGCCTGCTGTTGCCGTTGTTGCTCCTGCTGCTGCTGTTGCACGCACACCAACACTGCCCACACACGAGGGACTGGCAGGGCGAATGGGGCTGGCAGGGCGGACGGGGCTGGCAGGGCGAGCATTGCTGTCCCTGCCCTGAGACGGCCCTGCCCCTGCCGTGCCTGTGCTGCCCACCACTGCTGCCTTGGCGTCCGTCCGTGTACTAGCACTGACTCCAGTGGACCTCACAGGCGATGCTGCTCGCGCTGCCTTGCCCGCCACCTGGCTCTGCTGCTGCAAGAGTCGACCACGTGCTGACAGCAGCACGTCACTGGGAGCCACGCGTGCCGACCCCGCCCTCGCTGCCAAAGCCTGGAGCGCACTCGCCTTGCGCGCACCCACCTCCTTGTTCAACACCTTTGCGTCCTTGCTTGCCGGCCAATAGGGCAGCGACACGTCAGCAGTCTCTTTCACGATGGCCAGCGCGGCGAGCAGCGGTGGCGGGTATGCGAAGGCCTTCTTCTCCCCGCCCACCGCACCCCGCGCGCCCACCGCCTTAACCGCAGTGTGCGCACCTGCGTGCTCTGCCACCCCGCCGAACGTAGCCTGCCAGAAGGCGAGAGAGCGCGCGGCGATGGGCGGGTGCGGGTGCAGCAGCGCGATGGCGAGGGCGGGGGAGACGGTGGGAAGGAGCGCGGAGGAGCACCAGGCGGTGGGCGGCTGGCACGACTCGAGCATGCTCAGCACAGCGCCCCACCCCGCCGCCACGCCACCCTTCACGCCGTCCAGCACGCCCCACTGCGCGCCCTTCACCGCCTGCTCCCACCGCTCCCTGCTGCCGCCACCCCAACTCTGCGCGCCTGCACCCGCTGCACTGCCCGCGTGTCTGGGCGAGGGGGTAGTGGTAGCGGCGGAAGCAGGGAGGGGGGGCGACCAGGCGAGGCAAAGCGCGGCAGTGAGCGCGGGGAGGGCGGCGTGCAGCAGCAGCAGCGAGTCGGACGCGCAGGTGACGCGCGACGCCAGCGACGCCAACACCGCCACCGCCCTCCGCAGCTTCTCCGCGCCCACCTCTCTACCCCGCTCGTCCGCACCCGTCCTCTCGATCACTCTGCACGCGCCCACCACCAGCGCGCCCACCGCGCCCGCCGCCTCAACCATCCCCCGCGGGTCCTCGTCCTTCCCCGCGTGCAGCCCCTTGGCCACGTCGCCCGCGGCGGCGGACGGGCGCAGCGCGGAGAGGCGGCGGCGCTGCCCCGCCATGGTGACAGCGATAGCGGGCAGCGCGGCCGCCAGGTCCATGCGCTCCGCGACCACCTCGCCCGCGCGCACCGCCACCTCCCACCACGCCTCCGCCGCGGACGCGCGGCCGGGAGGAGCACTTCCAGTGGGGGTAGGGGGCGCGGGGGCGGAATGGGAGGGGGACGGCCGAGCAGCGGCAGCAGCGACGCCAGCGGACGCGGCGTCGCAGTGGGCAGCGGCAGCGAGCGCGGCGAAGAGCGGGGTGAGGGGCGCGTTGGGGTGGTGGGGCGACCTGAGCGCAGGCGAGTGCAGCAGCGCGACGACGAGGCGCTCTGTGTCGCGCAGCATGTCGCGCAACAGCGACGCGGGAATACACCACGCGCACGCACATGCCGTGGGTGCCGACAATGCGGCCGTTGCGTCAGACAGCGAATGCACCTGTCGCTGCTGCGACTCACAGGCAGCGGCGGCAGAGAGGAAGGAGAGCGCAAAGGAGAGCAGCGCCGGCGCCACGGCAGCTGCGCCCTCCACCTTGCCCTCTGCGCCACCCGTAATACCTCCCTTTCCGCTGCTCTGCTGCCCCTGCCCCTGCCCCTGCCCCAATCCCCCCGCCCCCGCGTTGCTGCCCTCTGTGAGCTCGTGCGCCAGTCGCCGCGCCAGCACGCCCCACACGCTCAGCACCACCTCTCCGCGCCGCTGCTCCACCGCCCACCTTCCCGCTTCCAATGCTCCGTTGTTGCCCGCTTTTCGTGCAGTGGGGGAGGCGGGGGCGTGCGGGGCATGCGGGGAGGGCAGGAACTGTTCGAGCGCGCGCAGCACGCCCACCAATCGGCTGCTCGCGTCCGCGCCCTGCACCGCTGCCTCCACCAGCTCTTCCGCGCGCTCCGCCAACCCCTCCTTGGCGCCAATCCCTGTCACGTGCGCGCCGAACGTGATTCCTGCATCGACCCACAGCGCCGTCACGAACACCGCCGGCACTGCAGCGCGCCGAGCCACAGCCGTCGCACTGCCGCCACTCGCCCCGCCTGCGCGGCCTGCAGCTGCTCCCACAGCCCCCGCGCCTGGAAGGCGGTGAGCGGCGGCGGTGCCACCGGTCGGAGTTTTGGGGGAGACGGGAACGTCGGCGGAGGCGGGGAGGGGAAGGCAGGTGGGTGTGGCAAGGGCGAGGCGGTAGAAGGAGGAGGCCATGAGCAGCGGCGTGAGGTGCCGCGTGAGAGCGCGCGTGAACTCCCAGCACAGGTCGAACCACCCCGCCAGCCACGCCGCCTCGCCGTCGCCGCCGCCGTGCGCGCCGTGGTCCGCGGCGGCAGGCAGCCCCAGCAGCCCGTGGAGGAACTCGAGCAGCAGGTGCACGGCCGCCACGTGCTCCGCGCTCGGCCGCACTGCACCGCGCCCCAGCGCCTCCACTCCGCGCACCAGAAGCGCCCACAGGCGCACGGAGGCCTCGGACGCGCGCACTTGCGGAGGGCCTGCGCGCTGCTGAGCTTCCGCCATCATCACCTGCGCCGCCCCCTCGCCGCCGTCCTCCGCGTCCTCGTCCGTACTCCGCCCGGCGGCCACCGCCCATTCCCCCTTCACCTCCAGAGCTTTGCTCGCCGCCTCCGCCTCCCCCGGCTCGCCGCCACCCAACCGCGCGGGTTCCGCTATCTGTCCGTTCTCCTGCCCCTCCGCCGCACCGTGCGACGAGCCTTCCAACGCCATTCGCCCGTCTGCGCGCTCGTTGCGAGCGACGTCGCTTGGGTCGCACGCATGTCGCACGACGACGTCGAGCAGCCCCAGCAGCTCGCGCAGCTGCTCCATCTGCCACGGCGCCCACTCCACCGTTGTCACGATGGCGGCCGCCGCGTGCCGCCTGTCGTACTTGCGCTCCAGCGCGCCGCCCTGCCCCTCCGACACCTGCCACCCGCCCTTCGCCGCCACCGACACCAACGTCCCCGCCTTCGCGCCCACCTCTTCCACGGGCACCAGCGCGCCACTCTCCCGCCCACTTTCCGCCTTGCCCCCCCGCAACAGCTTCCCCGCGCCCGCGTCCTTGATTCCTTCCCGCGTCGCCGCTCCGGACAGTCCCACTTCCTCGTCCCCAGCTGCGCCTGCGCCTGTGGTGGCGACGAAGCCCTCTAGCAGCTTCAGGCACCCCGCCCATTCCCACGCCTGCGCCTCCCCCACCAGCGACTCCGCGCCCTGTGCCGGGCGGTAGGGCCCGCGGCGGAGCACGATGCGCAGCATGGGGGTGGCGGCGGCGGAGAAGACGGCGGCGGACGATGCCCAGGGGCCCAGCGACCCCAGCAGGTGGCACCACGAGTGAAGAGCAGCGCCGCGCACCGCCGAATCGGCCTCGTGCGCTGCGGTGGTGATGAGCGGAGCCATGAGCAGCGTGAGGCGCTTCGGCGAGGGTGCTGCCACCATCGCGCCTCGACCGCGCTGGAAGGGCGTGGTGCCTGGGGACTCTGGGGAGCGCGGGGAGAGGGGAGCAGAGGTGCAGGTTATGGAGAGAATGGGAAAAAAGAACCAGGGAAGAGCGGCGATGGTACGCGCGCGAGGACAAGACAGGGACGGGCGAGATGGTACGGGTATGGGATGAAGCAGCACGCACTGTGAGTGGGCGAACGCGACGCGATGCTCCGCTTGCCCCCTTCGAGCGCAGCAGCAGCGAGCGGCGCATCAGCGATAGGGATGGCGGGCGCGAAGGCGTCGATGAGCGACTGCCACGCCATGTGCGTCTCGGCGCGCACGGCGGCGTCGGGCGCCATGAAGGTGCGCTCCGGCACCTTGAGCAGCGCGTTGGCGAGCGCCGTGCTGCCCTTCTCCGCCAGCGAGCCGCCCGTGAGGCGGACGAGCCACGCCCACGCGAGCACGACGAGCGGCATGTGCTGCACGTCGCCCAGCATCGCGTCCATGCGCTGCACCGCGCCGCCCTTCACCTCCTCCACCATCGCCTGCACTCCCCGCACCCACAGGCACACCCGCACCCGCATCCACACCCGCACCCGCATCCACACCAGCAGCAACAGTGACGAGTTAAGTTTCGGCTCCACGCATTACAATCAGCACGGATTGACCTGGACGGGAGAGGGAACGGGAGGGTAGTGCGCGGGGGACGGCGCACCTTGGTGACAAGCGGCGAGGGCGGCAGCAGCACGCGGCGCGTGGCGGCGAGCGAGAGCGTGGCGTGGATGAGGTCGCGCTCCTTGCGGTGCGAGGCGACGAGCAGGCGCCGCCACATGGGCACGGCCCACACGTGCGCGTGCTGCCTCATCTCCTGCGGAAGCTGCAGGGCCAGCACGCGCACGGCCTGCAGGACGCGCGAGACATGGGGAGAGCGAGAGGGGGAGGGCATGGCGGTGAGGCGGCAATCTGCGCGACAGGCAGCAGAGATGTATACGAACGCCTTGGGGGCAACCTTGTGTGATATGAGGCGGGCGTTGCTAGCCATGGCGACTGGAAGGAGGCGCGGCGAATGTGCGAGTGCCGGTCGACGACAAGTGTGCTCGCAGGGCGCGAGTGCGATGGGTGCGAGGGCAAGGAGCGGCAGGGAGCGTACCTTGCAGGCCTCGCAGGAGATGGCGTGCGACGCCATGGGGTTGACGACGGCGTGCACCAACGCGCGCAGCACGGACGGCAGAAGCTGCGCCAACAGCGGCGCGCGCACGTTCTGCTGCGACACGCACCACACTGCCAGATTGCACACCACCTGCCACGTGCCGCGTGGGACGGACGGAATGGGAGGGAGCGGCATGAGAAACGTCGAGGAGACAAGCAGCGCGCAGAAGCCAAGGCAGAAGGGATGGGTCAAGGCACTGACCTTATCGTTGGTGGTCATGATCGCTTGGAGTATGGCCTTCATCGTGCCGCCCACATCCGCGTCTGCGCGCACCAACACACAGATTTTTATCGCTAAAGTTCCTGCCTAACCGTCATGCAGCCGCCACACCGTGCCTCGCGATGGGCGGAACGCGACGACACGAGGGCAGAGATACGGGAGACGAACGAGGGGACACGCGCGAGAGGAACACTCCCGTTGGTGTTGGGCGGATGGAAGGGCGGGAGAGGAGTGGAGGCGGTGAAGGCTTACCGGAGGCGTGGTTGGCGAAAACGGGGTGGTGCAGGAAGAAGGCGGCGCACTTCATGGCGTACACGCATCTGCCGTCGCGCGCATGGCGGTCAGAGAGCCGCACGAGGGAGGGGAAGCGGGGGGGGTCAGGAGGATGGATTTCAACGACATGAGGACGTCGACGGTGCCGCCGACTGGGCGAGCGAGGGCCAAGAGACGAGGGATCTAAAGATGCGGCGAAGCAGCTATGACCGTTGCGGAGGGGCTACGCGAGCGCGCGAGTGCGCACAGCAACCCCAACTCCAGGACGCTGATCGCGCCACGTGGCAATCCCACGACCAGGCCTCTTTGTTTCTACAGCTTCTGATACTGCTATTGGTTCGAGGCCCTAACTAAGAACAGGCGGTTGCGAGTGCTTCGTGCGCATCGCGTTGAGTCGAGCCTTGTCGACTGGACTGCTTCCCCCTAGTGCGTGAGTAGCTCCGCCTCAAAATTGATCGACCGGGAAGAATATTAACAGCCACGTGGGCGTAGATAAGCGGGACATGGACGCAAGAAAAAGTAGCATCGAGCAGGAGTGGAACGGGCTGGAGCGAGAGGGAGGGAGAGGGGGAGGTGGCGTACATGTCGGTGGCGGTGGAGAGGATGTCGGGTCGCAGCACCGCGAGCAGCGCCGCCAGGTGTTGCTGGAGCATCTCGGCGGCTGTCCCGTCGCCGCCGCCGTCGCTCTGCATCTGAAGGTGAAGCAGTCTGGCGTGGCGAGGGCACAAGAGAGAGGAGACGCGCATGATGCGTGCATCTGAGAACACCGCGCGCGAGAAGCACGAGCTTCCGGAAAGTTCAGCCATGGACAAGAACTCACAGAAGCGCTGAATAGCACTCACTTGGTGTAGCCTTGAGTGCGCTGTTGGTGCTGCGACGATCGCAGCAGCGCCAGCACCTCCTGGAGGTACGATGGCGTGACGTCGCCATTCTGTAACTCCACTAGCTCCACCACCATCTTTCCCTACCCTAAAAAGCACTCTGCAAGCTTCGGATTCTCCACAGCATCGGCTAAGAATCACGGAGGCTACTTCTGGCTGGGACTGACTAGTGTGAGATGAAACGAGCGCCAGGTGAAAGCATATGGGCAGCCATTATGTGATGGTGTGTGATTGCATGTGCCTGCACTGGATGGATGTTGGTCGTGAAGATGCTGCTCTTGAGAGTTTCGCACCTGAGCGGGCAGTAGGAGAAACATGCATGGGCTGTCCAATGCTGCTGGAAATGGGGAGCTGAAGCAGAGAGGTTTGCGAAAGAGTGAAATTCCCCGCCGCCGCCAACAACGCGGACGGGTGGGCGCGGCGCGAGAGGAGGATGGAGCGGAGGAGCTGCGCTTGGGCAGAGCGGTCTAGGGCTGGTTGGGTTGTCGTGGCAGGAGCGCTGGGGATTCGGAGGCAAAGTAGCCCCGCCAAATAATCGCAATTCGAAATGTCGAATTTTTGGGAGGCGTGTCGTGCAGAATGTGCTTTCGTGCACCTGCCTGCATAATCGGACAGCCTTGAAAGCTCAACATGAAATGGATATGAAATGCCAGAGTGCACTTCTTGCTTACTGTTACGAGTGCAATTGAGTGAACGAACGAGAATTGCACTATCGAAGCAAGAGTACAATGAGCGAAGGCATGAGCGAAGAATATATAGCGAAAATACAGTGGTAACGGTAATGAACTGTGGTTGTCGCGCGACGGGCCTGGGACTGAGGTTGGGAAAGGTGTCGAAGCGGAGGCCCGGAGCGTGGGTTACCCGCCGAGCCGTGAGGTCGGGGTGCGACGTGCGAAGGTGGCGGGCGGATTGTCGATGCGAGGATTGCGAGTGGTAACGGTGCTGACTGTGGTGCTACAGTGATGTACGCGTTGAGCAGGGACGCGAAGTAAGGAAAAAATAGATTTTCCTTACACTACCCCCCCTTAAGGAGGTCCTCCTTACGAAAGTGCGTGTACATCCCTGAAATTCCGGCTGCGCAGATACTCGGTGAGGACGGGGTGGTTTTCGATTCTGTCCAGGGGAACCCAATTGTCTTCGGTGGGTGTACGGTCCTTCCAGCGGAGTAAGAACTCGATCCTTCGGGCTCCTCGAGGGTCGCGAACTCTGTGACTCACGATTTTCTCGGGGGTGATGATTGGTTCAGTCGGTGGTCTTGTCATGCTGGCGGGGCGATTGCGTGGCAGTTGGTTCGTGGACGGGACGTAAGGGCGAAGCAAGCTGACGTGGAACGAGGGGCTGACGTACCAGTCAGCAGGGAGGAGGAGGTGGGCGGTGACAGGTGTAATCACGTGGCTTATGCGAAATGGCCCGCAGTATCGGGGGCGGAGTTTCGGGGTGATGGGCAGTCGGAGATTCTGGGTGTCGAGCAAAACTAAGTCGTCGGGCTGGTAAGTGACAGGTCTGCGGTGGCGGTCGGCGTTGCGTTTAGCGATAATGTTAGCTTTTTTAATTGCGTCTGCTGCCCTGGTCCGTGCTGCTTGCAAAATTTTGGCGAACTGTTGCGCGCGTGGAACCGGGTTGTCGGGATTCGGGGTCATGGGTACTGTTGGGTCTTGTCTTTAATTCAGGTAAAACGGTGACTGTTGGGTCGTGGCGGATGGGGCGTTGTTGTATGCGAATTCGATGAGTGGCAGTTGCTGTTCCCACGTGTTTGGGTCGTCGCACGTGGCCCGGATGAGCTGTTCCATGGTCTGATTTGTCCGTTCTGTCTGTCCGTCTGTTTTGGGGTGGTACGATGAACTAAACTGTAGTCGCGTGCCAAACTGCTGCCACAGGTTCCGCCAGAAGTTGCTGGTGAATTTCGTGTCTCTGTCGCTGATGATTGATGCTGGTATCTCGTGTAGTCGAACGACGGTAGAGATGAAGAGGCGGGCTGTTTCTTCGGCTGTGATTGATTTTTTGCAGGCTGCGAAGTGTGCCATTTTCGTCAGTCGATCGACGACGGCCAGGATCGCGTCATTTCCACTCGCCCCGGCCGGTAACCCCGTGACGAAGTCCATCGTCACCTGCTGCCAAGCACGCTCTGGAGGTGGGATTGGCTGCAACTGTCCCGCCGGCCGCTTCCGTGTTGACTTCATGATCTGGCAAGTGGGACATGATGCCACGTGTCGCTGCACGTCGGTCAACATTTCGGGCCAGTAATAATACCGCTGCAGCTGCTGCCGTGTTTTCTTTGCCCCGAAATGTCCCAAGGTAACCCCGTCATGTGCCTCCTGTAATAGTAATTCCCGTAGTAGTGTGTACCCTGGTACCCAGATGCGCTCGGTCCCGGCTTTTACGTAATAGACTCCCTTGGCTGCTGCGAACTGCTGCGAATTTCCTCCTGTGAAGAATGGATCCGTTTGATATCCGTGGGTAAATAGTCCTGTCAGTAGCGGGCTGGTCTGGGCGAGTAGTATCGCGTGGATCTGGGCAGTGGGGCGGGTCAGTGCGTCGGCGATGTTCGAGGCTCCTTTTTTATAGGTGACTGTGTAGTGGAAGTTTGACTCGAGGAAATCGAGCCACCGAATCTGTCGTGGGTTGAGGTGGGGCTGTGCGCGGAGGTACTGTAGTGATCGGTGGTCTGTTCGTACTGTCACGTTTGCGCCGGTCAAGTAGCAGCGCCACACTTTGAACGCATGCACGATCGCGAGCATTTCGCGGTCGTGTATCGGGTAATTTCGCTCGGGCGGATGCAGTTTTCGTGACTCGTACGCGATGGGCTGTAGGCCATTGCCGAAGTCCTGTAGCAGTACGGCTCCAATGGCGATGTCGCTTGCGTCTGTAACAACCTCGAAGGGGCGGTGTGGGTTGGCGATGCGCAGGACGGGCGGTGAACAGAGAACATTTTTCAGGGCAGAGAAGGCAGCATGCTCTTTCTCCCCCCACGTAAAAGCGACCCCCTTTCGCAGTAAATCCGTCAGTCGGGCAGTTAACCGTGCCATATCGGGAACGAACCGACGCACATAATTAACGAACCCTAAAAAGCTCTGCAGCTCCGTGATGTTCGTCGGGGGATGCCACGCTTTTACCGTATCCAGCTTCTTTGGGTCGATTTCAACTCCAGCCTCCGAAATAACGTGCCCCAAAAATTCTAACCTATCCTGGAAGAACTCACACTTGGAACCCTTGGTCAGTAATCTGTGCTCGTCTAACACCTTAAGCACTGCTTCCAGATCTGCTAAGTGCTGCTGCTTATCCCGACTGTACACTAGAATGTCGTCGAGATAAACTATTACACATTTATCTAAGAGTGGCCTAAACGCCTCGTTCATGGTCATCTGAAATGTTGCGGGCGCGTTGGTCAGCCCGAAAGGCATCACCGTGTACTCAAACGACCCGTACCTAGTCCTAAATGCTTTCTTGGCGCAGTACGATGGTTCGACCCGAATCTGATGGTAACCCCCCCGTAAGTCTATTTTCGAAAACACCCGTGCTGTTCGCAGTTGGTCGATCAGTTCGTCGGCGCGGGGAATGGGGTACCGCGACTTGACTGTTACCCTGTTGAGCGCTTGGTAATCGATGCACATGCGAAACCCTCCGTCTTTTTTCGGTGTGAACAGTATCGGTGCGGCGAACGGTGACGAACTTGGTCGAATAAACTGCTTCTCTAACAAATAATCTAACTGCTTCCTTAGTTCGTCAAGCTCGGGCTGTGTTAGTCTGAACTGGCGCTGTACAGTTGGCTGTGCCCCCGGTTCTAACTCGATCCTATGATCATGCGCCCACTGAGGTGGCAGCCCTTCCGGTAAGTCGTCTGGAAAAATCCCCGGGTACCGTTTCAACAGTTCCTGTAGTCCGGGCGGTACTGCTGCCAACAGTTTCTGAAAATCGCTCGGCTGCTTCGCTTCTCCTACGAATGCTATATCTACTGCGTACACGTCAGCTCCAGCGACGACAACCCGTTTCATAGTGATGGCGTTGACGTGGACCGTTGAAGACTCGGGCGACTGCTAGCGAGGTAGCATGACCCAGTTACCGCTACTTCGCACCGTGCAGCTACCCGTCGTCCAGTCGATTCGTGGGTTGTACTGTCGTAGCCAATCACGTCCCAGTAAAACATCATGCCCATCCAATGTCGTCGCTAGCATTTCCTGTGTAAACCCGAAGTTCCCCCCGCAGCGAACTTTTACTCTCTCCACCTTCTCCCGTATGGCCAGTGGCGTGCCATCAACTAAGCGTGCGTCAATCTCAGGTAAGCAGCGACTAAGTGTCATTTGTAATTTTCGCTCAGTTGCGGTATTAACTAAACTGTGGCTTGCTCCTCCGTCAATAAAAATCTTCACGGCTGCTCCCTATATTTTCCCGTGGATCAGTACTGGGCAATCCGTCGTTGTACCCTCCTTATTCATCCGAGCCCGATCGATGGCGTGAATCGGTACTGTGACTCAGTGAGGGTTGGTGCGGTTGGGCGAGCAGGCAGTCTCGTCAGTAGTTGGCCCAAATTCTACTGACTGCTGGCGTTTCCCTGCCTCTGAGACTCCCCCCCCTGCTCTGCTTCACGGCGCTTTAGCTCCTCTGGGCATTCGCTCTTGCGATGGCCCGGCCTGTTTCAAGCAAAGCAGCGCCCCTTAAACGGTGCGGCAGCTGCATTCGTCGCAACAGTGTTTACAGTGGCGTGCTCGATCGGTCCCCGAGGACGATGTCCGTAGTAGGACCCCGGTCTCGGTCGGCGTAGAATGTCGATTTTCTCGGCGAGCGCGAGAATCTCGTTGAAGTTTGAGAGTCCGCGCAGCATGATTGCATGCAAGATATCCGGCTTCAGCCCTCCGGCGTAACGGTCCACCCGCTCCGCTTCGTGCATGTAGCCGACCTGCTCGCAAAGTGCGAGAAAACCGCTCGTG